TCAGAGGGGGAAACACACACTAGAGACTCCCAGGTCAAGAGCAGAACTCTGTCTTAGGTTCTCAAATTGAAATGTAGGAAGAGGTGACCAGCAGCTGAGTAGTCACTTCATTCAGTGAGATTCACAGCTAGGGGACAAATCTAGATGGGGGGAGAGGGGAGCATCAATACTCAATTTCCAAAAAAGTTGATCTACGACTTTTCTACAAGCAAAGAAAACAAAATCAAAACTTTTCTGACCGTCTCTAGCAGGCTAATGCAGTGGCTAGTGTAACAGTTTTTTTTTTTAAACCTACAACTTTTTATAGGGGCTCCATCACTAAGGGGGATTTTCTTTTTTTCTTGAGTTTTTCAAGGCAGGGTTTCCCTGTGACTTTTGGAGGCTGTCCTGGAACTAGCTCTTGTAGACCAGGCTGGTCTCGAACTCAAAGAGATTCACTTGCCTGGCCTCATATATCTGCTCAGCAACAAAAACTTACCCTTCTGTAAGCTATTTTGGTTTTTGTCTGTCATTTCTCAGAGAGAAACAAGACTAGACCTTTGAGAACTGTACTAAGGAATTGGAATTTTATTTTAACTGTGGCCAAAAACTACTAGCATAGGACTGCTATAATCTAACTTAGATCATTAGAAGGCCATTCAGAAAAATGGCCATCCAGAGGAGGCCAATATAGGAGCACCATGACAAAAGATACTGCAAAATGATTGTGGGAACATATAAGACTCAGTGGGTTTTTGTTGTTGTTGTTGTTTTTATCACTAACCAGATTTTCTATTAAGCCTTATTTCATTTCTAAACACACAACTGCCTGGCAAAAGCCTTCCATCTCTCTCTCACATAAACACAAACTCCTCCTGCCTTTGCCCTGAACTCCTAAACTATGATTACAGCTTATTTGCTTTTCTTTTTCTTGCTCTTCAGGTCTCTCTATGTGGCCCTGGCTGTCCCAGAACTGGCTATGTAGACCAGGCTTACCTCCAGCTCACAGACATCTCTGTCTAAATTACTTAGACTGTTAGCATCACTGTCAAACAGTCGGTCTTGACTCTGAACCCTTTTATGGTTTGTATCCTTGGGTGAGTTACTTACAGTCTTTTAAAGTTTTCATTGTGTTTGTATGTGGAGCATGTGCACGCCTGTGATATGTGCATCCGGAGTGCCAGCACTCAAGTGTGGCACAGGACAGCTTTGTGGAGTTGGCTTTCTTCCACATTTATGCTGCTTCCAGTCACAGAGGCCGGACCTGTGAAGCGGTCAGTTTTACCGACTGACCAACCCTTCCTTACATTCTTTTGGGCCCCAGTTTTTTTCTCAAAACATGAACACACAGAAAATATGAAATAAATTATATACTAGTTCTTTGGTAATGAGACACGCTTGAATGTCTCAGGAAGATGACCTACAGAAACAGTAAACAAGCAGGATCAACCGTTAGTAGGTTCAAGTGCAAGGATTGCTTGCACTGAACTCAAGAGCTCAGTTGGGGATTCTCACAGTACTGGCACTGAAACAACTACTCTAAGTATACACCGGGCAAGTGTTTTCCTTTAACCTTCAATTTGTGTTTTTACATGCATTTTTTTCCTTCTTCCCTGCGAGTAAAAAAGATGGAAACTGACCTTGCAGTTAATTCATGATGCAGACCCTTGTGAGGCTGGGATGCGACTCAGTGGGTAACTACTTGCCTAGCATGAATGAGTAAAACTCTTTGGTCTAGTCCCAGCCCTTGGTGAACTAATGTGGCACAAGTGTCCATGATCATTGAAGAGGTAAGATCAGAGATTCAAGCCGGGTGGTGGTAGCACACACCTTCAATCCCAGCACTTTCAAGGATCTCTGTGAGTTCGAGCTACACAGAGAAACCCTGTCTGGGGGACGGGGGCACGGGACTCAGTCATTCAAAGTCAGTCTTAGCTACATAAAGATGATCCTGGTGTGCCTATTAACTACTTTAACTTCTGTTAACAGTTTTTATTTCGCACTTTAAAAGGTAGTGGTACTGCTGCAGGCTTGCCATCCCAGCATCCAGAAGACAGTGAGTTCAAGGTCAACCTGAAATCATAATGTGTTCCAGGTCAGTCTGGATGCTACAGTGAGATCTTGTCTCAGAAGAATAAACAAAGTATGACATTCCATACTGTAAACACGATGGGACACCAGGAAAGCCAGTAGATAGGAACCCTGCAGTAGCCCCTCCTCCTATTCAATGTTCTTTCAACAGAAGATAACTGAAAAGTTGCCATCACATTAATCACACAGTATTTACTGAGCAGAAGCTATGTGCCAGCCAGTGCATTAGGCACTAGAGGACAAAGGTTAGTGTCACATAGTCCTCTCCCTGAAAGTGAGCAGGCTTGGTTTTTACACAAGAAATGGAAGGGTGATGTAGATAGGACCACAAGTAAAAACATGAAAAGACCACCTTCAGAAGTGAGCAGAAAATACAGCTAGATGGAGCTTGAGCTAGACCCTTGGGTGATAGTATTTTCTAGGAAGCGGCCATGTACAAGGGCCATATGATCCTAGGGGCAATTTATTTTTTTTTAATTTTATTATGAAAAAGTTAAACATGCACAAATCAACAGAGCCGGGCGGTGGTGGCGCACACCTTTAATCCCAGCACTCGGGAGCCAGAGGCAGGCGGATCTCTGTGAGTTCGAGGCCGGGCTGGATCAACAGCCTCCAAAACAATACAGAGAAACCCTGTCTCGTACAACCAAAATAAATAAATAAATAAAACGAACATACGAGATCACGGTTTTTATCAATCCTAGAAATCTTGTTTTATATGTAACTTACATGTCACTATAACATAAACCTATTTTTAAATACTACATTCCTTCTGGACTCATTCTCAGACAAATGTACAGGGTTATACTAGATATTTTCCTAAATGCAGAATACAAATAATCAAACAAACACAATTTTGTTTTTTAAAAAATCATTTTTATGTATCTGTATAAACCAAGTGAAGAATAGCAAAAAATACTGCAAATGACAGAAAACCCAAAATTCAGCTTACAAATACATGCAGAATACACCTTCCTCATTGTTATTTCTGTAAGGATGAGTAAAGTGGTGAGAGAACTTATAGGCCACATACTCAGCCCTTTCTCTCAGTCTCCTCAGCATGTTTCCTCCTCTGAAAATAGGGATGGTGTCCCCACCTTACAGACAAGTGGGAATTGAACAACTGTACGGTAAACACTATGTGTTTAGTTTTTTGTTCCCTGGTTGGCTAGAAGAACCACAAACAGGGTAAGAGCCTAGCTTCCCGTTCTCTCTCTAGATGCTGTGCAGTCTGCACCTGAACACATGCTACAATGCAGAGGGGGAGCATCCTGATGGCAGGGAGCTTCCTGGACTCTAAGCCAACAGCGCTGAGACCTAAGGAAGCATTTCAAGAGACTGTGTCTTGTAAATGCTCAGCCTTTACAAGTAGTCTCCCCTTTATTAGTAGTTCACATAGTCTCCCTCAACTGGTAGGGCCTCTGAGTGGCACAGGAAGACACTTTAACTTTCCATGTTTACAGACAGGGTTATCTATCACTCTGCAGCCCAGGCCAGCCTCAAACTGAGATTGCAAATGTGTATCATCAAATACACAAGTTCGCCCATTTCCTGACCACTGTGTGATGATTTCAACCAACCTGTAGCCTCTTCACAGTCCAGCAAGACAGCCATAAAGATTCAAGGTGCAGGCCCAGCTTTTCGTGCATGGCCACCACACAGGGCAGCATCAGCTTACTTCCTAATCCAACCTCAGGAAAGCAAACTGTAACCCTGTGTCCCACACCACCTGGCCCTCACAGCTGCCCAAAACTATCAGTTTGTCCTTTTAAAACACAACTGTAGTCAATCAAAACCTAACTTTTCTTTTAGTTTCTCAATTATCTTCTTTCTGAGGCTGTGTATACAGAGCTCAAGTTTGCATTATTAAATTCTCTTCAATCACGATGAGTTCCTGAGTTACTCTAAACGTTCCTTGTTTTCACAGACAACCCATTTCTTTCACTGTCTCCCTACGACGATGGCAGTTGCTCCATCATAATCCTGACACTTGTCTGTCCTGTGCTTTTCGAAGGTATCCACTTAATCCACGCAAGCTGTGAAAAAGGCAACTCCTGAACTTTTATAGTTCAGGGGAAAGGAATGAAGAACTCACTTTTCCACTGACAAAACCAAGTGGCCCTTCAACCCCACCTTAGGGAAAGTCTACAGCTCTGTAACAAAACCACAAGTGCTTCAAACCACCTCCAGGCTCTCTAGACTGCAACCAGGCTCCCCGCCCCACACCTACAACCTACCATCCATCTCTTATTTTCTCACCCCCAAGCCATTACTTGCTCTCGGCTACACCATCTCCGCTCGTCCCGAACATAATCAACCTCCCTCCACTGCAAACACTCCGCACCTCTGCACTTCTCATCCCTCTCCCCCACCCCAAACTTGGCACTCCCTCGCCAGGACGCATTTGTCACCCCCCTGTAAACTACAAGCAAGTACCTCAGCCCCGCAACACGCCGGAGAGTCCCACAGAAAGGGAATTAACTTGCACGCCCTCCATCTCCGAGCACTCCGAATGCACCAACCCTTACAAAGACTGCCCATGCCCCACTGCTACCAATACTTCCTTTCCAGAATGTGGTCATCCGAGCACACTCCCCTCCGCCGTGCAAGGATCTCTCGGCGCAGGGCCTCTGCCCACCGCGGAGGCGGACGCTCCCCCATCCACCCACCCGCCCCACTACTTGCAAGTTGTGCCTCTTACCACCTGTTCTCGCCAGAGCGGGGTACACCTTCACCCCGGCCTGCCTCTGCCCACCCTCCCTGGTCCCTCCTGCCCGCCAGCACCCGCGCCAGTCGGTTCCGAGGCGCCGCTCGGATGCCCGCCCCTCCCCCGGGCTCCGAGGACGCCCGCCTCTCGCACCCGGGCCCCGCACGCACCTGCGGCCCGGCCGCTCCCCCACCCCCGTTCCCGTCCCCAAGCCCGCACTCACCACGAATAGGTCTGCTCCGCCATGGTGCTGCCTCTCTCGGGGCTCCGCGGCTCGCTCGGCCGGCGGCAGAGGGCGCGGCCGGGGGCCCGGAGGCTCGCTCGCACGGCGGACGGGCACTCGGGCTCTGACGGGACTCGGACGGGGCCCCGCTGCCTGGGCCCCGGCGCGGGCCGGGCTCCGTTCTCGGCCTCCTCAGCCGCGGCGGCGGCGGCGGCTCCGCTGCGGCTCCAAACCCAACATGGCGGCGGCGGCGGCGCGGAGAACAAGGGCCCGGGGCGGGCGAACGGCAGCTCGGGCCCGCGCTCAGTGCGCGCCGGGCCTCGGGAGCGCCGCGCTCGGGCGGCGGCGGCGGCGGCCGGGGGACATGGCCAGCGGCGGCGGCGGCGGCGGCGGCGACAACGGCTGAGGGGGGGCGCTAGGCGTTGAGGCGAGGCCGTTCGGAGCACACCCGCCGAGGGAGGAGGGAACGGGGCAGGCGGGCGGGGGGGCGGGGAGAGCCAGGACCTTGCATCACGTGCCCAAAACACGCTCACGTGACCGTCGCGTCCCGCCCCTCGAGAGCGGCCCATGCGCGGAGCGCTCCGCTGGGCCCTGCTCGAAGCCACCGTTGGCGGCCGCCGCCGCGTGCTAGGCCCGGGTGCGCGGCGTCGTTCGGCTGCTGTGCTGCCACTCAGCTGTCAGCCTTCCATCATCGGCCCGTTGGCCTGGGTCCCCAACTGCCAGTCAACTGTCATCGGGTGGGCAGAGCTCTGCGTTCTGGTGCCCGCGTTTACACGTCTCCCGCATGGGCCCCACGCGGTGCCAATTCAAATGCTACATGCTTGTCTTCAAAGAAGCCATCAGCAGATCCTTGTTGGGTGACAACGAGGGGTCATCTCCTTCACCTGGGCCCTGGTCCTTGCAGACACCTTCTCGGGCAAGAGCAAGAGGCATGAGCTGTTCAAGCCGGCCAAAGCACGAAGACCGTTTCAGAGTTATGAAGCTATTTGTGGAGCAAAGGGACAGAGACTAAAAAGGAAGAGTACAAGCTACTTAGTGTGGACGAGCATAAGTCAGTAGGTAGAGTGCTGTGTGAGACCCTGTCTAAGGAAAAGAAAAAAAACAAAAAACAAACAGGAATAGTAGTGCAGGCCTTTAATTCCTGCACCGAGAAGGCAGAGGTACGGGAAGGGGAATGGGGGCAGAGGCAGGCCAAGACTTCATAGAGAGACATTCTAGCAAATGAATAAGTGGGTAAATAAATGAATGAATAAGAAAGACAGGGAAAAAGGGAAAAGCGTAGTCTAAATATTAAGAGTATGAGCCGGGCGGTGGTGGCGCACGCCTTTAATCCCAGCACTCGGGAGGCAGAGGCAGGCGGACAGCCTCCAAAACAATACAGAGAAACCCTGTCTCGTAAAAAAAAAAAAAAAAGAAAAGAAAAGAAAAAAAAGTATGAGAAGGCTATATAGTGTATGTTTCTGATCTCATGAAGTTCTGGGAAAATAACCATGGAAACAGTAAAAAGGTCATTGGTCATCTGGGGCAGAAGGGACAAGTTGAGGATGTTTAAAGCGACAAAACTAGACTATATGACACTGTAATCCCAGAACAACAGAAGTGGGGGTAGGCAGAGCAAAAGATCAGGGTCATCCTCAGCTATACAGGGAATTTGACACAGAGTTTAAGGCCAGGCTGAGCAAATGAAACCTTGTTGAAAGAGAAAGAACGAAAGAAGGAAAAGAAGAAAGAGAGAAGGGAAAAAGAAAGAAAGCAAACTGTCACAGATGTAAACTTAATAGACCAGAGACCAAGCTCAGGAACCGAGGCCTTAGGTAGAAATGGGATGGTGCAATGACCTGAACCCCTTACACACACGCACACAGACACACTCTTCCCCTTTGGGCGTCGGAGAGCATTTTCTCAGGAGAAAGACAGCCTAAAGCCACAAGAGGCTTACCAACAGAGAAATCATTTTGGCAAGAGAGTGGCACAGAGCAAGCCCCAAAAGTGGGGACCGGCGGGGGATGGGTGATCTGTGCCATAAGCTGTTGACCGAAGACGCTACAAGGGTGGGTGGAGGCCAGGCTTTGAAGGTTTCCCTAGGTCTCTCAAGTTATTATGCTTGTGATTGGAAATGATCCAGTTCCAGAAACATGGTTGGCTAATAAACACGGTACTCTTCCTTGAGGTTCCCTTTCTGCCTCCCTTTGCAGAGAGCAAGGATCTCACACTTTTGACCTGCACATCCAGGATCCTCTGTGGCTCACCCAGTGTTAGGCCAGGCTGTAACTCTGATCCAGTTTCCCAGGGCCTCCCCAGGCTTACAGGGAATGCCACACCCCAAATCTATCTTCAAAAAGATCAGTTGGCCAGTACCCATACAGCTTCTGCTTGCCTGTTCCCCAAGGGGAAGCCTTTCATGAGATGGCCAAGTACACAGTTCCTGCAAACTTTCCACCTTCCTCCTCTGCCCCAACGGCCAGGTACCAGGACCAGCCTCATTCTGGGTGTCCCCTCCTGAATGTCACCAGAGAGAAAGCCGAAGAAAAGGTGTCAGGAATGGTTTAATCCAAGGCCTCACTAACCACTTGGAAAGGTAACCAGCCTTTAAGTGTCTGCCCAGCCACGAACCCCACAGGGGTCATGGGGTGATGAAACAGCAAAGAGCCCAATTTCTTGACGTTCATGGAACTCGTGCAATTCTCCTACGTACTTCTACAAAAAACCAGTTGTGAACTTAAGTGTGACACAGTCATTCTGAGTCTCCAAGCCCAGAGAGTGAGGTTTCAGATCCCATGGGAAAGGCCCGAAACCATAAAGCAGGAGTGGTTGTGGGAGGTGCCAGATCTCTCTCTCAGGGGAGCTAAGAACAAAACAAACCAGACATGTCGCTAATGAAACAAAAATGACAAGCGGGTGCTCTGGGCAATTCTCTTAGGCTTTGATTCCCAGTGAGTCACAGGAGATTAAACCAAGTGAGAAGTTAGGATGAGGTGAGCAGAACAGGAGTGGCTGAGAAAATGTCAAAGCCTCTGAAAACTCTACACTACCCAGTGGGGGAAAATGTGATGTAAGAAAGGAGGGAAACGGAGCTTGGTGGAGGTATAGCATAGAGATCTAAACCAGAGGCTCCCAAAGTGTGTCTTAGGAAAACACATGACATCTATGACAAGTACCAAATACCACTTGGCAGGGCTGGGAGGTCATCCAGACCCCCAGAAACCCTGTGAGCATGGTCCCTAGAGATGAAGAGAGCCCAGAGCCTTGTGACTTGAGTATCCATGAGTGAGAATGCAGAAGGCATCTGTGGGTCATCAAGATCTCCACAAGCTTGCAATCCTCTGGGAAGGCCATTCTTCAGTAAACTAGAAGCCCTAGCATTGGCTGGAAGCTCCCCAGCTTGTGGCACTCAAGGAGCGACTTTCAGTGCCTGTGCCAGCACTTGGCTGTGAGCTGGAGCCGCCCCAGGCAGATCTGTGTATCTCTGCGCCTCGCCCGCCTGGGGAGTCAGGTGTGTTTGGCAAGGGTTCAGGTGTTGGCTATCCCCCAGGAAAGGTGCTTCACTCTCCTCCACCCCTACCCCGGGGTGAGAGGGCCATAGCTTGTGTAATATTTGTTGAAAGAGACCATGAAAGCACCTCTAATTATCCCCATGGTAATTATAGGATGGTTCTATCCACTGAGTGTGTTCAAAGGAGACTTGGAGAGCCTCCCAGGATGCATCATCTGCCTTAGGCACAGACTCCAGGGAGCAAACATTGCCAGGTCTGGCTTAGGCGTGCTTCTGGCCTGAGTGAGCCTGCCCATCCAGCCCAGCCTTCACTTCTGTCTCCCACTCGCACTGCACCAACAAGCAGGGGACACTTGGTCCTTCCCCAGGGACCTGCCTGCCAGTCCCCAAATGGCCAATGTTCTCTTTTGCTTCCATTATCTGTGATAAAGCCCAGGCAGCTTCCTCACTGTGGCCACCTGCAGCTTCCTGAAGTTGTTTCTCTCCTTCTGCACCTGTGAGTCCTGGGAACCCGACTCAGGTTGTCAACACAGGTGGTCAACCTTGGTAGCAGGTGTTTTTACCCACAGACCCACCTCACTGGCCCTAACCATGGAGTGGAAGGGGGTAGCTCTGTAATAGGGCATGTATTTACATACACAAGGACCTGGGTCATCTAACCTCCAGTACCAAAAGAAAAGCAAGCATACACACATACAAGCATTCACACATATGTGCACACATGTGGAAAGAGAACAGCTTCAAGCTACACCAAAAATTGTGGGAAAGTACAGAGTACTCTCTGACACAACTTCCCCTAATTGGCCCAGCAGTAACAATACGCGTAGATTCTGTGAGCTTGAACAAGCTTGTCACGGTATGCATCTGCCATTACAGTGTCATGTGGACCAGTGCTGTGTTAAAAAGAATCCCCAAGCTGTGCCTGTCCCCTAAGCAGCTGATGACCAGTGTAATCTTTCTACTGTTTCCATAGTTTTAATTTTTTCCAGAACGTCATGTGATTAGAACAATACATGACGCAGCTCCCTTAGATGGGCCCTTTATCACTTAGAAACACACTTGTAGCTTTCCTCTGTGCCTCCTGTATCCTAGGCAGGATTGAATTTCCGATCCTCCTGCTGGGATCTTCCTGTCCACACACCCAGATTAATTGGAAATCTAACCCAGGGCTGTATGGATGCTAAGCAAGGACTCTACTAACCCCACCACACGCCCAGCCCTCTGCACGTCTGGCTATGGTTTCTCCATAGGTTTAAAAACAGTTTTTTAGATGTATTCTTTTATCTGTATGAGTGTTTTGTTTGGCTGTGAGTGTACCATGTGCATGTCTGGTGCCCACCGAGCAGTGGTTTTCAACCTGTGGGTCGAGACCCCTTTGGGGTCACATATCAGATTTTTATATTATGATTCAAAATAGTAGCAAAATTACAGTAATGAAGTAGCAACACAGTAAGGTTGGAGTCACCACATTGTGAGCAGTTTCATTAAAGGGTTAACAGGAGGAAGGTCAGGAACCCCTGCCACAGAGGATGGTGGTGACATAACAGGTCAGAGCTGAGAATCCTCTGAAAGAGCAGTAAGTACTTTTGACTGTGGAACCCTCACCATCCCAGATTTTCATTTAAATTTGAGACAGATTTTTGCTATATAATCCAGGCCAGGACTGGGAATGTAGCTCAGGTGGTAAGGCATGAGTGTTTGCCTGCCATAAACAAAATCCAGGGTTTGATCCCCATAAAATGCTGTAATCCCAGCATTTGAGAGGTAGAGGCAGGAGGATCAGAAGTTTAATGTCGTCAGGCATTGGTGGCACACGCCTTTAATCCCAGCACTTGGGAGGCAGAGGTTGGTGGATCTCTGAGTTCAAGGCCAGCCTGGTCTCCAACAATACAGAGAAACCCTGTCTCAAAAAACAAACAAGGGGCTGGAGAGATGGCTCAGAGGTTAAGAGCACTGATTGCCCTTCGAGGGGTCCTGAGTTCAATTCCCAGCAACCACATGGTGGCTCACAACCATCTGTAATGAGATCTGGTGCCTCTTCTGGGGTGCAGACATACACGGAGGCAGAATGCTGTATTCATAATAAATAAATAAATCTAAAAAAACAAAAAACAAAAAACCAGAAGTTTAATGTCATCCTCACACACACAGAAAGTTGGAGGCCAGCCTGAGCTACCTCCAAAAGCAAAACAAAGCCTATGAGATGGCTCAGCAGGTAAAGGCACCAGGTGCCCAGCCTGACGTCCTGAGTTAGATCCCTAGAACTTATAAGATAGAAGATGAGAACTGCCTCCAGAAAGTCACACTCTACTTCCACATGTGCACAGGAAAGTGTTTAAAAGCAACGGCAGGCCTATGTGTTCCGGGTCAGGGGCTAGATCAACATGCCCAGTCACAGATCCTCTTTAGTCACCAAGTGGTACTGTTATATGAAAACCCCAGGGCTTATTTATACATTCACTCACTGAAGGATGTCTTAGCTGCTTCCAAGTGTTGGAAACTAAAATGATGATAAACATTCACAAGCAGACTTTGTTTGGGCATATGTGCCATTTATTTGGTTTTTTGCAAACATATTGTTTAATTTCCCAAACACTTATGGCATTCCCAGATATCTTATTGTTGAATTTTTCAAATTTAACATATTCTGTAAGATTGCAATGTTCTGAAGCTTATTAAGATGTGCTTATGACCCGGTATCTGGTTTATATTTGCAAATACTCTTTGTTCAGTTAGAATTGTATTATTTGGGGGATTGGTGTTCTATTCAAGTAAATTAATTCAAGGTGATCAATAATGCTGATATAGTCTGTCTTTACTGGCTTTGTATGTGTGTGATGGTAGTAGTAGTTAAATTGGTTCATTTTTTTTCTGAAGATATTTGCTTTAGCCACATTCTAGCAATGCAATATTTAAAGATTAATTTATTTTCATTTATGTACACATGTGCTTGCTTGAGTTTATGTGCACCAGGTGGATGCAGGAGCTGGCAGAGGCCAGAAGAGGGCATTAGATCCCCTGAACCTGGAGTTAGAGGTGGCTGTGATCCACTATGCCAGGTGCTTGGAACCAAATTCTGGTCCTCTGCTACAACAGCAAGTGCTCTTAACCTCCAACTCCCTGAATCAGTTATTAAAAAGCAAAAGTAATTTTGTTATTGTAGAAGGCACAAGGTGCATGTGCTCACAGATGAACATGGAGAAACCAGACCTGTTACACACGCAGGCTTTTCTTTTCAGCGAGAGCAGTGTGCACACCTGTTTTCCGTCCAGAGCGATGGGAGTGTGTGGGGCCAGGATTCTCTGGGATTCCCCTTGTCCTGAGCATCATTTCCCAGTCGACAGCAGCACCCGTTCTTGTGGAAGAGGTGACAGATGCTCCGCAAAGGAGTTTGTGTAGTCGTCCCAAAGCTTTATTGTGATGATTGTCATGAGGAAACGTCTTCCAAAGTTGTGCTTTGCTTAACTACGTAATAAATAAACTGCTCAGGGTCAGACTCCAGAAGTTTGACCCAGTCCACCTAAATCGCATTGAACCAGGTTTCTTTCTTGACTTTCATTTCTCTGCCAGCAGTGGAGTTTGAAGAGACCCCACACACACACACACACATGTCATGACTGCCTACTTCTCTTAATTCTATCCAATTTCCTTTATGTATTTAATACATGTTATTTGTTTGTGTGTGTGGTGCTGGGGATTGAACCCAGAGCTAGGCAGGAACTCCACCGCAGAGTCACAGCCACAGCCTGCACACTATATGATTAGATTAATATGCACTTAAATTATAATAGCCTCCTTCCTAATTAAAAGCCTCTGTTAAATCTTCCCTTTGAAGTTTTCTTTATCTGATACTAATATATTTTGTCTATTTCAGAAAAGGTTTCTCTGTGTAGCCCTGGTTGTCCTGGAACTCTGTAGACCAGGCTGGCCTTGAACTCACAGAGATCCCCCTGCCTCTGCCTCTTGAGTGCTGGGATAAAAGGCGCGCATGCCCGGCTTGGTTTCCTATTTCCTCTAACACAGGTCTGCTGATGTTTCACTCTCATTTAAGGGAAGTGTTATTAGATACAGAAACCTCAGTTGAAAGCCCAGCCCCCGCCCCCAAGCCGGGGCCTTCCTGTGTATCCCACACTGGCCTGGAACTCCCCATGTAACCCAGGCAAGCTTCACAATCACTGTCTTCGCCGTCTAACTTCCCAGTGCTGAGCTCACAGTCACGCAGCCCTGTGTCCAGCTCACTGAGCATTCGGGTAGCTGCTTCCTATTTCTAAACTGAGGAAACAGAGGCACTGGGAAATGAAACCGTGAAACCATCTGTACAAGACCACCCAGCTAAGCCCAGGGTGGTTTGAATGGTAGCCTAGACCCCTTCTGGAAGATCCTTGGTGCATAAGAGGAGGTGAGAGTTCTTCAGACCCCTATTTAGAGTAGGGCCAGGTAAGCTGTCAATCACGAGTCCTTTGAGAATCCATGCTAGATAGAGATGGCATGCTGCTGCTACCCAGGTAATGACTCCGCAGGGGAGGGGGCAATCAGCAATGCGTTCCACCTCCCCACCGCTATTCCTCTGCTTAAGACCCCGACTTTCCCATCATGCTTCACTCTGCAGGGGCCCGTGCTCAGGTTGTAGAATCACTCCTTTGGGCTGTCAGGTCCTGTCTCTTTAGTTGTGAAGCCACTCAGGAAAGAGTGCCTCTCTTTCTGGGATCCCTGACTCCTCTCTCAAAATGAAGATTAAGAACTGGCACCAACCTTTTGGGTCTGGAATGAGATAATGTAAGCGAGGGATGAGGGAGTTCCCGACACCCCCTTAGCATCCAGCAGTCTGTGCATATCTATTAAAAAGAAAAAAGATCATTTGTGGGCTAGAGATGGCTCAGAGGTTAGGAGCACTGACTGTTCTTCCAGAGGATCTGAGTTCCATTCCGAGCAACTACATGGCGGCTCACAACCATCTGTAATGAGACCTGGCGCCCTCTTCTGGTCTGCAGGCATACATGCAGGCAGAACACTATACATTAAGGGAAAAAAACCACAAAATTAGGAGTTGGGTGGATTGTGCATGTCAGTGCAGTGCCTGTGGAGGCCAGAAGAGGGCATCAGGTAGCCCTGGAGTTGGAGTTACAGATAGTTGTGAGGCACCTGACTTGGGTATTGGGATGGTCTTCATAACCACTGAGCTATCTCTCCAGCCTCTAGTTTGAAATTTTTCTTAAAGCAAGGTCTCACTAAGTAGACCTGGCTATCCTGAAACTTGCTATATAGACCAGGTTATCCTTGAACTCTCAGAGATCTGCTTCCCTCTGCCTCCTGAGTGCTGGGACTACAGGTGTGCATCACCTTGCCTACACTAGGCTGCAATTTTTATCTTTCAAATTTTATGTGTATGAATGTTTTGCCCGTATGTATGTGTGTACACCATGTGCATGCTGGGTGCCCAAGGAACCCAGAAGAGGATGTTGCATCACCTGAAACTGGAGTTGTGGATGGCTGTGAGCTGTTGATGCCGAACTCTCTCTCTCTCTCTCTCTCTCTCTCTCTCTCTCTCTCTCTCTCTCTCTCGCTCTCGCTCTCGCTCTCTCTCTCTCTCTCACACACACACACACATACACACACACATATATGTACACACACACACACACACACACACACGCCCCCAGGAAGCCATCAGGAGCCAGCAACACTCTACAAGACCAGCCAGTACTCTTGTCCGACAAGCCATCTCTCCAGCTTTAGGATGTAATTCTTAACACTGTCTCCCTTCCATTTCCTTCTGTCAAGATCTCTGACCTATCATCTCAGGTATCTCTAGTGAAATTACACAGTGTTCTCTAAGTCACTTCAGAATCCCTTCCCCTGGGTCTTCCTCCCCCAGCTGCTAACCTTTAGCCCATCCATCCCGTTTCTGGGCTTCTTTCCAAGAGCAGGAAGCACTTTAGTCTTACATGTATTTATTTTTGTAGTACCAAGGGATGGAACCCCAGGCCCTAAACATACTAGGGAAATACTCACCCCTCAAATCACATTCTCAAAATAAGAAACATTTAAATTTCTCCCAGAGCCCAAAAGAACCCCTTAGAAGCGTTCACATGTCCCCAGCCTCAGATTATGGCCCCTCTTGCTTCTTGGAGATCACAGTCTGTGAAGCCAGGGTGGCAAATTAGAATGGGATATGAAGACTACAAAGCCAGCTGCCAATACTTGATACTACCCATTTCTGTTTCAGAGATTTAAGAAGGGATCATGGGCCGGTTGGGTGGTGGCGCACGCCTTTAATCCAAGCACTCAAGAGGCAGAGACAGGCGGATCTCTGTGAATTGGAGGCCAGTCTAGACTACAAGAGCAAGTTCCAAAGTTCCAAAGCTATAGAGAAACCCTGTTCCAAAAAAAACAAAACAAAAAAAGAATGGATCTCGGTACCCTATGGAAATCCAGGACCGCCCCAGGAGTGACTGGAGAAGGCAAACCCTTACTGTCTCATTTTTAGACACCAACTGAAGACACTGCTGCTGTCTGAAGAGAGGACTTGGTCGCCACCCTCAAGGCTTGCCCATCTCGCTAGTCTCCCGAGAAACTTCGTGGTTGGCACATCCTAAGGTAACCAGATTCTCATCCCTTGCAGCTAATCTCCCTGGCTTCAGAGACTCAGGTCTGTAGATTGCAGTGAACACTGGGACTTGCTCAGAGCCAGGGCATGTCCCTGGGAAGGAAGGAGGAGGCCCCACTGTTTACCGAGTATCCTGTTCATGCCAGGTGCTCCATATTCTTTTTTTGAGACAGCATTTCTCTGTGTAGCCCTGGCTGTCCTGGAACTCTGTCTGCAGACCTCAAGGTTGGCCTCGAACTCACAGAGATCTGCTTGCCTCTTCCAAGTCATGCACCACCACCACCCAGCTAAGTGCCGTATACTCTTTATACTCTTTACTTAATGTACTTTCCACAGTGTCTTTCTCCTCCTCTGAATTCCCAACAGTTGGCAGAATACTCCCTAAATATTTAATCATGGCATTAGTCAAATCGCTCCCATTTACTGAGTTACATATGTCATAGGCTCGCTTCAAGTTTCTAACGCCTCTTATTTGCAGAGCACTTGCAGATGAAAGCTTGGATAACAAGGCTGGGGAGACAGCTCAGTGGATAAAGCACTTGCCATACAGATATGAGGACTGGAGTTCAGATCCACTGCACCCACGTAAATCCCAGTATTCAGGAAACATACACACCACACACACATGTGCACATGCAAACAAACAAAAACACTTTGATACCCCATCCCTAGATGAAAAGCTATAGGCAATCAACAACCACTGAGGCAGGGAGAATGAGTCTTCCCAGAGAATGAGCCCCCCTGATTAGTTTTCTAATACCAAGTGGTCAGTCCTAGAAATATACATACTGGCAACACTAAACAGACCCAGCAGGTTGTATTTATACATCTATTTGTTTATATGTATATGTAATAACAATGGTTAAACAAGTGGAGGGAGGAGAGAGGAGATGATATAATTACACACACACACACACACACACACACACACACACTGGTTTTTCTAGACAGGGTTTCACTGTGTAGCCCTGGCTACCCTGAAACTCGCTCTGTAGACCAGGCTGGCTTCGAACTCCTAGAGATCCTCCTGCCCCTGCCTCCTGAGTGCTGGGATTAAAGGCATGCACCACCTCTGACTGGCATGATAGTATTGTATTTTAATTAAATAAAAAACAAACACGAATAGACAAAAAGTGCTAATAATCCTATGATGCTGGGCTTTTCATCCTATTTTTCCTTCGTAGGAAACTAAAATACAAAGAAAGAAGTGACCAAAGGATAGACAAGAGAGAAATGGGCATCGGCTCCAAGCTTTGAACCCAGCAGAGGTGTTTGCGGTAGGAAGCGGCAGTGGACACACATCATGGGATTACTGTCAAGCAGCCACCGTGGAACAAGTGTCTTAGATGCTGCCAAATCGCCTCAGGCCTCCAAGAAGCGCTGAGATCAGTCATGTCCTCAGGACCGCACTGCTTTCTCACATGAAGAGCCAGAAGTGGACTGCCAACTCCATCGGAGCCACTTGGGGACATTCAGTGTAGAGGGGGGTTGCAGGCTGCCCCAGAGATGGCAAACATCTGCACCCCCAGCCTGTTCCTGGAGGCTTGGGGCTGGCACTGGGGCAGGAAGCTGCCTCACCTCACACAGTGAGTCACAGGCAATGCCCACTCCCAGGAGCCTGTGCCTCCCCAGGCAGGTAGGAGTGCATCCCAGATGCTGTCGGCACTGGAGAACAGCTGCCCACTGGGCTTCGTTACGTGGCGAGGCTCTCCCGAAGGTCGTCGCCCTGAAGGAGCCGCACAAAGGACCTGGTGATGCCATTCTACAGATCTGATTTGTCAGGTGACACGGAGACCCCCAAGAAGACAAAGCCTAAGAGTAGTGGTCCCCAATTCAAAGCCACCGGTGTGACCCTTCTCCTCTCTATCCCAGCTCATCTCGTGGGGCCACCCATGATCAGATCTGACCGCCTGACCCACCACCCCAGCCACGTAACTACCATCGTGAGATTAACTTGACCAAGTGATTACTTGCTGGTATTCGTGTCCTGACTATGCTCTTGCTCCTTGTTTACTGTTTGGGGTGGGGGTGAGGTCTTTTGTTTTGTTTTGTTGGTAGGGAATAGGGTTGAGACAGGGTCTCATTGGGCTCAGATCAGTGCTTGCTGGGTTTTGTTTTCTTTTGTGATAAGGTCTCACACTGTAGCCCAGCCTGACTTGAAGCTCCCTGTGTAATATAGGTAATAGAGGTAATTCTTCTGCCTCAGCTTCGTGAGTGTTGGGATTACAGGTGTGTACTATCACATCTACATTTGGATCGCTTCTTGAAACTCCATTCTGCAGGCCCAGGCCCCAGGATACAGACCCAGCCCTCCTTCAGGCTCTCAGACAAGTATCCTCTTGAACTTTTTCTCCATAAGCCTCTTGCTTTTGTCCATCCAGCTTTTACCTGCTTCTGCCAAGCCCGCTGGACTGGTTTGGGCCTATCATAATCCCAATTCAGAGACCTGCATAGCTTGTCTTTCCTGTCCCCCAAAGCCCAGTAGGCCCCATGCGAACTAGAGGGTGCGGCTGATATGTTCCATGAGGGGTCAATCTAGTCCACGTTTCATAGATGCCCGGGAACTGGGATGCTCCTGGACCATAGGGCCCCTTCTCAAGAGCACTGACCCAGATCCAGACAAAACCTGACAAACCCCACTCATCACTTAAACAGGGCTGGAGAGAGGGTAAGCAGGGAAAGGTGTTTGCCACCAAGGCTAACAACTGACTTCCTAAAGATGCTCCCTGACTTCCACACATGCGCAACAAATACATGTAATCAAAATAAAAGAAATGCATATAATCAAAAATAAATAAATAAAGTGGACTTTCCCCAAGTCCCTGCTGTGTATGAGCCAAACATCTTGACTGGCCCTCCAAATTTAAACTCTCAGAATCTCACATCTTCAACAAACCTCATGGATATCTATAATGCATCATGCTGCACTGACCCCATCTCAAAGAATTTCTGTAATCCAAGGACATCTTTGTGGGGTCAGTTTTCTCCTTTTGCCTTTACTGGGGTTCTGGAAGGATAGAACTCGGGCTGGCAAGCCCCTTTACCTGCTGAGCCATCTCGTCAGCCCTCTACCTTATGTAGAGATGGGGTCTCCCCATCTCTCTCTCTGAACCTGGAGTTGGTTGGCTCTGCTAGCCTGGGTGGCCTGCAAGCCCCAGGGCTTCCTGTCTCTACCCTCCCGGTGCTGAGGTTAGAAAGACACCACTAAGTCTGGCTGATGTTTTGTTTTGTTTAAAGACAGGGTGTTGCTAAAATTCCTTCTCTGGGGAAGACATAAACAAATCTACCTCCCACCCCATTATCCCAACAATAAACCAAGGTACTAGTATTCCATCAAGCTCACTCTGGGGAGCCAGTGGGTTATGAGGCTCACTTATAGAGCAATGGGGTCACGGGAAGAAATGTGGGTGCACTTAAAGTAGCCACAATGAAAGGTCTCTACCCCAGCAGGGACGATGACTCCCCACGGGCGGCCAGGCAAATGGAGCCTCCTCTAACCCCTTTCTATCTCCCGAGACCACATGTAATTAGGGAAGAATTGCTCAAGACTAGTTGGGAGGAGTGGTTGGATCCTCAGGTGGGAGTCCCGTGACTGTTCCCGCTCCCTCCTCCTCCTATGAAGGAAAGTTGACAGTCAACAAGCCCAGCTACTGTGATCTTTTGTGAGCAGGCCCAGACGAACTCCTAAAGTGTGGTCAAGAGAGGCGACAGTGTAGCTTGGAGGATAGCACTGTACAACACAGGGTCTCACGAGTGGCCCTGGCTAGGCTGGAACTTACTAAGTAGAGCGGGCTGGTCTCAGACACAAAGGGATTCACCTTTGAAATGTGGGTCCTCTTCCTTGCCAAATGAGCATGCTACCAACTAAACCATCTCCCCAGACTGAAGTTCGCAGTTTTATTTTTTTCGGGTTTTGTTGTTGTTGTTTGTTTTTTTGTGAACTGTCACGTCCATTCACAGTTAGGGAAACCAAAACCCACAGACGTTAAAGAGCACACCCTGGTCACACAAAGCCAGGAGGTGACTGCAGAGCTTGTGCTACTCTGTCACTCTCTGCTCTTGACTGAAGCTATTAAAAACTGGACAGGGTCTGGAGAGACGGCTCAGCAGTGAAGAGCACTGGCTGAACTTCCAGACGACTCGGCTTTGATTCCGAGCAACTGCATGATGGCTCCCACCAGTCCACAGTAACTCCATTTTCAGGGGATTCAAAACGCTCTCCTGGCCTCTATGGGCACCAGGCATCAGAGAGTGGCGCACAGACGTAGGTGCGGGCAAAATACTCATATACATGAAAACAAACAAAGTCAGACTCCAGGAATTAAGGAAGGCACCAGAACGTTCCACTCACCTAAACAAAAGGTGAGCAGAACTCAAAAGCCTCCCAGACCCACAGAGAAGACGATGACACGTGGAGTGAGCCAAGTGCAACGTGCCAGGGAGTGAGGCCCTGGCCAGCCAGACAAGTTACAGCCCATCCCAAAGGGTCACTCGGCTCCAAATGAACAGTCATGTGGGGTCGTGTTCAGTGTGATAAGTTCTGATTTTTGTTTCCATGAAAATTTAGGAATCTGAAACTTTTTTCTTCTTTCTAAAGATTTATACATTATATAGACAGTGTAGTGTTCTGCCTGCATATATGTCTACAGGCCAGAAGAGGGCACCAGGTCTCATTACTGATGGTTGTGAGCCACCATGTGGTTGTTGGGAATTGAACTCAGGATCTCTGGAAGAGCAGACAGTGTTCTTAACCACTGAGCCACATCTCCAGTCCCCAAACTTTTATATGAGGTTTCTAGACAAAGTATAACTGGTGCTGGGTACAGGCAAAACCATTGGACCCTGGACAAAAGATGTCCATGGACTCAGAAATAATTCTGCTTACAAATCTGAGGTTTGGCCTGGTTTGAGGATGTTTGTTGTTGTTGTTTGTTTTTCTGGGGCAAGTGAGGTTTAAAAATAGAACAAAACCCAGACTCCTGCAAGATGTTACATCCAGAAAATGGTTGGCCTGTCAGGGATTTATTTTATTTTCTTATTTTTGTTTTTTCGAGGCAGGGTTTCTCTGTATTGTTTTGGAGGCTGTCCTGGAACTCACTCTTGTAGACCAGGCTGGCCTCGAACTCACAGAGATCTGCCTGCCTCTGCCTCCTGAGTGCTGGGAGTGCCACCACCGCCCGGCCAGATTTAGTTTATTTTTATTTGTGTGTGTGTGCGCGCGTGTGTACATGTGTTTACACATACACGAGTACCTGTGAAGGCCAGAAGAGGGCATCAGATCCCGTGGAGCTGGAGAAATGTGCATTTGGGAGCCACCTGACAGGAGGGCTGGTGACTGAGCCCCTGTCCTCCAGCCACTCAGCTGTCTCTCATGCCCAGCTTTGGGCAGGGCTTTCGGGGATCTGAACTCAGAGCCTCATGCTTGCAGGGCAAGCCCTTACTGACTAAGCTGGCTCCCCACCTCTGCCAGTGGTTTTTATGAACACGCTGTTTAAACTGTCCCCGTCACCACCGTCCCTTTAAGGCTTTTCTATGAAATTTTCCTCCCTGGAACACTTGTTACCACCTGACAGATGAAAAACACCGGGCTTTTAATGCGTGTGGTCATTTATCCTTGTACAAAGTGCTTTGTGAGAACATGGATGTGATTTGTCTTAGTCCCAACCATGCACCCAGCACCTATATTTTGGAATAGACATATTATTATATGCTATGTATCAGTTATTATATAATAAAACGATGATTTGTTGCTGTTGTTTTGAAAGAGAGGCTTGCTATGTAAGCCCAGATGGGCTGGAATTCACGTTGTAGACCACACTGCCCTTGAACTTACAGCAATCCCCTTGCTCTTAAAACCTAAATTTTGAGATTACAGGCATTCACTGCCACACCCACTTCAAAAACTTGTTTAAAATTAGGCTTACTGATTTTATTGTATGTGTGAGTGTTTGACCTACATGTATGTGCGCCACCACCACATATGTGTGCTTGGTTCCTGGAACTGGAGTGACTGAAGGTTTTGAATCACCATGTGGGTGTTAGGAATCAAACCTGGGTCTTCTGCAAGAGGAACAAGAGCTTTCATGACTGAGATGTCACTCCAGCTCCTGTCAAACCCACGCAAGTAACAACTTTACATTTTTCCTATATTCATTTGTTATTGATGTGTATGTGGGTTCATGCATATGTGTGGTTACCTGAGGAGACCAGAGAGGGGCGCCGGAGCCCTAAAGCTGGAGTTACAGGCAGTTGTGAGCCACCTGACGTGGGTGCTGGGAATTGAACTCCAGTCCTCGGCAAGATTATGCTCTTAACAACTGAGCCATCTCTGTAACCCAATGTGACTCTTTGTTTTACAGACACGGGCTCTTTTTGTACCACTGGCTGACCTAGAACTCACAGGGATGTGCTTGTCTCTGCCTCCAAGGGCTAGAATTAAAGGACTACACCTGAAACACACTGTGTGTCAAAATGACTTTAAAAGACATCTAATTAGCTGGGCATGGTGGCCCAAGCCTTTAGCCCCAGAACTCAGGAGGCAGAGGCAAGCAAATCTCTGTGAGTTCAAGGCCAGCCTGGTCTACAGAGCCTTTTCCAGGACAGCCAGGGCTACATAGAGAAACCCAATCTCAAAACAAAACCAGCCCCCTCCACACACACACCAAAGCACCTAACAATTTTTAGGGGCTCCATGTACTAAGCTCTTAGCTTAGCTTTTTTTTTTTTTTTTTTTTTTTTTTTTTTTGGCTTTTTGAGACAGGGTTTCTCTGTATTGTTTTGGAGGCTGTCCTGGAACTCACTTTGTAGACCAGGCTGGCCTCGAACTCATGGAGATCCACCTGCCTCTGCCTCCCGAGTGCTGGGATAAAGGTGTGTGCTACCAACGCCTGGCAGCTTAGCTCTTTATGAATTTCAATGTCACCGAGTCCTCAGACTTGGAAACGGAGTCTCAGAGCATTTCACCTGCTTGGGTATGACA